GTGATTGGCTTGTAATTAGGTCCTGTGACGGTTGCTGATTGAGCGGCCGAGGAGTCTGGTGAAAATTATTGAAGAGCATTTTCCTTCGCATGCAATGTGAGTTCCTTTTTATATATTTATTTTTTATTTTTTTTGGTGATATAAGAGAGAGAACCATTCAGAATGTTGAAGAGCTTAACAGTTTTGATATGTCCATGAATTGAGATTTTTGTTTTTCCCCTTATTTGTTCTCCCCAAATCGAAAATCTAATCAGTGGTATACATAATGTAGTAATGTACAGAGTATTATCTCAATTATGCATCATTACTGATCTTCAGCTCTGTAGTGAATGACATTTGAATTACATGAGTACAGTGATACATGCGTAATTTACAAGGTGACATAAGTTTGAATCCTGGTCCATGTGCTTTTACATGATTTCAGATTGTAAATATGATTTTTTTTTCTACACAAGTCAAGCGCTATACATTATACTCGGAAGTCGTAACTTTAACTTAATCCGGATTTTGTCATAAATCTGTCTTGAATGAAACAGACAAATTACTCAAAAAAACACAAATGAATGGTTTGCAGATGGCACTTGTGTGAATGAGTGTGTGATCCTTTTATTTTTGCAGATGGTTTGCTCATGTCTTTATGATTCTTATTTTTGCTGATAGTTCTGCTCATGTCTTTATGATTTCATATTCGTCGATGTTATAGCACAGATAAGTACATACAATACAAATCCATATATATAATCACACACACACACATAGAACTAGTTTGCTTTCACATTGCATAAATATTTACAGGAACATGAGAAAATATTTCTTATTTTCATCAAGTTTATCTCAAGCATCTAATGTTATTCCTACAAAATAAACGATTTCAATTTCAGTTACGGAGAGGAGAATGGATGGAGATGCCAAGAATGAAAGAAGATTTTGCAGACTTTGTTTGGGTATTGGTCCTGATACATGGTACAAAACGTTTCATCACTGGTATGCATGATCTATTTAACTAAATTTAATTAAAAAGCTTATCCTAACATCTGACCATTAATAATGCTAAATTAACACAGGTAAAACCTTTGTTTGGAACTCTAATTGCTTTACTCTATAAGGGTATACCGGTAAATATTCTAGCAACTGTATGTATTAGGAAGCTATGAGAGAAATCCAGTTTTTCTTTACAGTATCCTTTCAGTAAAATAACTTGAAGAATCTGTACTCTGAACATCATTTGTATTTCTCAAGTTAAAATCTGTATCATATCTTGAGAGGCTTTGGTGGGGGTCATTTTTTCAGGTACACAGCTAGTCCTCATCTATTTAGTGGAGCTGCCAAAATGTCTTTTGCTCGAGTAGTAAGGTATGTTCACATGGTAAGGATATAGAATTGGATACGTATAGTTCGTTTGAATTCAATATGTATTACCAAGTATTCTGTGTGAAAAAAATTTGAATCATCAGTTGTCTGAAATGTCTTTACCTGTGACCTGTTATAATATAATTTTATGGACCAAAGAATACACTTCTAGAAAGATTTGCAGCGAGTCAAATTTCTGTTCCCCGACACATTTTTTGGGATTTTGCAGTTAACTAGCAAGCTGCCTCTAATCTGAAAGGAAAATTTAATATTCTAGATAGTTGTATATTTATGCATGTGCTTTGGGAACAATGCAATTGACCTTTGTGGTCTGTTTGTTCTGTTTCTTTGTTGAAGATAGATGCAAACTTGCAGTTGCTGTGATTCTTGTGTATGTACGCTTAACTTTTCCTTTCTACATACTTCTTCAACTATATATGGGTGCATACTAAAGACAAACTCTGGTTAAATATTTCCAACATAACATTTGAAATCTCAATTTTAACTACAGCGCAATTTTTTCCTAATACCACTTCTTATCTTACCCCGACATTCCATTTGTTCGGTTTTTCATGTCAAAGTACCACTGTACGGCTGTGATTGTGATGCCTATGCACTCTTGGCCTCAGGTTTTGTAGACCTTTGATAGAGTCAGGCCTCAAAAAGGGGAGTTCTGTTTCTGACTATGCATCCACATTTCACAATATGCTTCGATCAGGTGTTGATTAACCTTTAACCGTCTTCCTTAGAAATTTTAACTATCTACAAATGGCCCTCATTAAATGTGTGTCAAATTATTTGGTTATATACAGTACCCAATGGGCATAAATTTAGAAATTTGAACTATCTACAAATGATCCTCATTAAATGTGTGTCAAATTGTTTGGTTTTATACAGTAGCCTATGGGCATAAATATATGATCTCGTGACTCGTTAGATGAATCACAGAGTTTCCATGACCCTTCGTTTTTTTTATATATAATTTTTCTTTTTTTTTTTTCTTTAAGCATGTGATGAAATTGAAACTACCATTATCATTCATTGTGTGATCTAGATATATTGATGGCCTTTTATTCACACTTTTTATGCTTGCCCAAACACCTGTGATTGAAGGTGCTGGTGGTGTTATTACTGATTGGAAAGGGCATCAACTTCATTGGGAGGCTTCTTCTACATCACGTGCTACAAGTATGTTAATGTGCCTAATTTTAAGAAAATACAAAATTGACTTTTCAGAATTACAAATGCATCTCCTTGACGTAATTTCATTTTTTTTTTATTTTTTACAAATGCAACTTATTAAAAAACCAAAAAGAATAATTAAACAGAAAACAAAGTGCAACTAATTCGAAGGGAAAACAAAATGCAACTAATGAGGAGGCAATTTAATATTTGAAAAAATAAAAACCATTGAGGTGGATTTTACTTCAATAATTTAAGCTACACATCGTGCGATTGGATGTGGAATTTTTTTCCAAAATAAGTTGTCTCATATGAAAATGTTATATTTAGTAAAAAGAGGAGATAAAATTTGAGATTGTAAATGGATAATATGATATAAATGTGACTGATATAAAATTAATAAGTTATTAATAAATATTAGTTGAAAAATACTATTTTTCATTGGAAAATGTATAATAGTAATTATTTTGATATTTTGATTTTGTTAAATTTGTAGAGAAAATTTGAGATTAAATCATTAGCTTTTCAAAAAAAAATCATTTCATTTTCAATTTTATCTTATGTGTTGTCTTCTATTTTCAGGTTTTAATGTAGTTGCAGCAGGGGCACAAAGTTGTCCATCAAGAAGCTATAAACACATTATTGTGGCAGTGAAAACTAACTTGGGAACTTAGAGCATCTCCAATGCTCAAATGTTATTGTGATAAAATACATTTCACATCAACACATTTAGTAATATCATAACTTTCTACCCTCCAATGTACAATGTGATCATAAATATTATGGTGATATGGACATAATTAATATCTACAATGTAGTAAAGAATGTGGTTCATCCACATTCTCCTCCACACTCTAGCTAGCCAATGGAGAGAAGAGAGAGAATTATTCTTACCATTTTCAAACTATTTAATTATTTAATTAATTTTTTTTAATTTATATTAAAATTTTAATATTTGGTAAGTAGATAATATTATAATTAGACTACATTGTGCATTAAAAATGATTTTTAAATTTAATAGTTGTGAACTCAACATTTTTCCTACATGGTTCACAATCTATTTAAGTTTTTGACATTTGTCAAAATTTATTCTATAACAACATTAGAATGCTCTTAATTCTTCCATGAGAAAACCTCGAATTGAGTCCCCTCTTCGACACGTTCTACTAAGCAACAGAATGCAAACCATTGCTGTAACCGTCTTTTCTCAATGATTATTAGATAATCCCATAACTCCCAAAGATGCAATTGATAAGCTAGTGTATTCTCATTTGTTCGCATAGCTAATTTATGATTATGTCTTATTCGCCATGCTCATTCATAAACTCTTCTTAATTCATAGCAACTCATTGTCATAGCACATAGTATTAAGTACCTGGGAAACAAAATCAAATTTAACATTGTCTTTGGTCCCAATATAGTTTCAAAAGTCACACTGATTGCTGAAGATTTTTTTCAATGGGGATGCAAGCGCCCAATTGGAAGGTTTGTTCTATGAAAAGGGCATCACTCGAACACGTTTTCCTACTCCTTCCCAAAGTCGGCACTGTAATGAGCACTTGATTCGAGCTTCTTGGCTTCATTCAGTTTCCTCACGGCCTGAAACATTTTTCAAGCATTAGAAAAGTCAGATTTGTCGACAGTACCATATGTAGTAGTAGTTATGCAAGAATCATTGATGTTAAGAATGATGGTTTCCAGTGTAGGGAAAAAATGTACCATGCTGATAAAGGTCTTAACGGCTTAAACTACAAATTGTCATGTATTTTATTTCGTAGGATGAAATAAAAACTGAAAATAATAGCTTTCCGAAATTCAGGAAAATGACATGCCTCGACACACTGTTAAGAGTTGTAACTTGTAAGCGAACCGAATCGAGTTTGTACAATGATCTTTTGCTTATAAATCGAGCCGAGCTCAAACAAAAACTTCTCGTTCCTTAATCAAACGAACATGAACTCTGCGAACATGTGATAATGTTCCAAACATTAATTTAATAAATCTATTATATATTTTATTTTTATAAGTAAATATTTTTAATAAAAAGTTTTTGTACCAATATATTAAAAAAAATATATATTTTCAAACTCGAACTCCAGTTAATTGATGTGTTGTAAGCTTTTTACTAAATTATTCAAACTCGAACAAACTCAAACTTTGACAAACAACTAAAAACAAACGAGGTCAAACCCGAATTTTCGCTCAAATAACGAATGAACGAACACGACCAATGTTCGAACATAATCGAACACGAGCGCAAAGTGCTCAGGCCTGGCTCATTCAGTTCGATTACAACACTACACTATACTTCCTAAAATAAAAACATTTATATCCTAATAATGCAGAAAACTAACCTTCATGAAGTCTTCGTGAATGACATAATCACGTTCCGCCCGAATTGCAGACATTCCGGCTTCAGTGCAGATATTACGAAGGTCAGCACCGTTAAATCCCTGTACAAAAATGTTTGAAAAATATAAATAAATAATCAAAATATAATTCTAATAGAGTTGATTAGAAAAAAAAAAAAAAAAAAAAAAAGACTCNAAAAAAAAAAAAAAAAAAAAGCCTTTTCTAGGTTACCTCAGCAAGTTTCACCACAGCCTCGTAATCAATTTCACCATGCTTAGCTATACCAGCAGCATGAATTTTTAGAATCTCCATTCTCGACTGCTCATTCGGCAATGGAATTTCAATTTTCCTATCTAAGCGACCCGGACGAAGCAGTGCAGGGTCCAAAACATCAGGCCTGTTTGTAGCCATTATCATTTTCACCTGTGTGCGGATCAATAATAATTCAGAAACACATGACAAACCCATAATGTGATATGCAATTTTACACGACATATGTTTACTTTTTAGGTATCGAGTGAACATGCTCAAACTGTGGGGATGCTTGGATATAAGATGTTTTGATTTTATTTGGATTTTTAGTTTGGTAGTGGGATTTTGAATTTACATTAAAATAATATTGAAATAAAATAATTAAAGTTGATTTGATGTAAAAATAGAAGAGAAATGATGTGAAATAATGATTAGTTAAAATTATGTGAGTGGATAAATAGTGAACTAAAGTTGATGTCATGTGCAAGAATAATTGAGTGGTTAGTGGGTTGAGACTTGAGTTAAAGTTGAGTTAAAAAAAGTAATTGGTAAAAAATGATGCGCATGCACTCAATGTTTAAACTGAACCTTCCCAAGCTGGTCAAACCCATCAAGCTGGTTTAACAACTCCATGAGTGTCCTTTGGATTTCACGGTCGGCACTTGTTCCCTCACTAAAACGGCGCCCTCCAATGGCATCAATCTCGTCCATAAATATGATGCAGGGCTTCAGAATAAGAAAGACAGATATTCTTTTTACAATATCAAATTATATAAAAGGACAACAAAAGCAAATAAATCAACTTCATGTGATAAAACTTACTTGGTGATCACGGGCATAGCCAAACATTTCCCTGATCAATCTAGCACTCTCCCCTATGTACTTGTCAATAATAGCACTCGAAACGACCTGCATTGGTTAGTTATTATTCAAATAAGTTGGCATTTGATAAAACAAAAGAATGTACATGGAGTTTTCCCGTCTTTCCCACCTTTAGGAAATTAGCATCTATGTTGCTAGCAATTGCTCTAGCCAACAGTGTCTTGCCAGTACCAGGAGGCCCATATAAAAGTACACCCTGAAACAAGTAAATAGTATTATTAGGAAAAATAAGCAAGAGAGACGGGGAAAAATGACTTCTTAAAAAAAGAATTTAGTACTCTTAAAATAGAGTTTACCTTAGGAGGCTTAATGCCAACTCTTAGGAATAGCTCAGGATTCATGAGAGGTAATTCAATAGATTCTCTTAGTTCCCGGATTTGATCCGACAACCCACCCACAGCAGAATAACTAACATTTCCAGGGTCCTCGTGAAGCATATTGTAAACAACAGGATCCACCTGAATCAAACAGCACAATTCAAAATTAGTGTTCTCGGCTAAAGTCAGAGTCAAATATCTGGGCCATCATTAGCTAGCAAAAGCTGAGAAGCACAAATTTGTACCTCACGAGGGAGAGCTCGCATAATTGTAAGCGTTGTCATATCAAGAACAACCCTAGTGCCTGATGTGAGTTTATCTTTGTCCACTTTACTGCGGCATCCAACCACATATCTTGGGCCGCTGCTGGCTTTAACGATCACTAGTATAGCAAAAGACAATGATTGGAACAATAAAATAGCATAAAATGGAGATGTATAAAAATTCTGCATCCCGAAAAATCGCTAATCATGACATCACAGTGGGCCAGTGGCCTGTCTCAATGTAAGAAATCAAACAAATTGTCTAAACACTATTCGGCTAGTGCCATGTGAACAAATGCATTGCAAAAGAAGGCCATGTAGTTGTTGAATGCAGAATCTATTTAGTTCTTCTATCCAATATCTTATTTTGTTAAAAAAAAAATCCAGGTGAAGGAAAAAAAACCACAAGTGAATCTACTCATCAAACAATCGGGCATTACTTTAAAATCAGAGGAAGTACGATCAGATGTGAGACAATAAAGGGAACAATTGAATGAATGAAATGGAAGAAAATGTCTTACGGCGTTCATTATCCAGAGGCCTCAGAACCTCGCCTATGATCTGTCCAACACTCTGGAGAGACTTCAAATCGTCCTCCGTTTTAGTATACTCCTTCTTAGCGACTTTTAAATTCTCCCTAGCTACATAAAAGAAAATATTGTCATTCACTAAGATATAGCCACATATCCCAAGACCAAATATACAGTAGATGGTCTTATTTACAAAACAGAATAGCTCAGGCCAATACTCAATCTAAGCACAGATGACATACAGGACATAAATATGCTGCAGAAACAATCACATTAAAAGAGTAGATTAAATCACATAAGTTTTAAAAGAAATAAAGGAAAAATAATCTCCAGCCAGGCAAATGGCAACTATACATACACTCCTCCGCACAAGAAGAGGTTAATCAAATTAACTAGTGTCCTTGAGAGAGAATTAATCTGGAAACCTAATTCATCAGCACAGAACAGACACAGAGAAACCGACCATTATAGGAAGACCAAGGAATGAAGCAAACGCAAGCAGTTTCGCACCCAGAGTTTAAATCAATTGAACTACCAATTGAGCCCAAATAAACTTTAAAATAATCCCAACGCAGCTATATTCAGCAAATTGTATTAGATAGTAGCAAATAATAAGGCAATACTAAAATATAACAGCAAACACAGCTTCAAATCGGAAAACCCTAAAAACTAAACCACGTGCTTACCACCACAAAACTTCCAATCATCTCACATTAATTACATACGAAAAGAGCTAGATACAACAACAGGAGATTAACAGATACTAAATACACTAACACTTCATAGATCTATTACTGTAAGCCAGAATGGGGTAATTGAACCCTGGATCCGCCAGTACAACGTTAAAACTATGAAAATTACAAAGTTAGGAGCCAAATTACCAGATCGAACTCGGCCTTCGAGTTCCTTGTGGTTGAGAAGCTTTTTCCGGTACTCGGCAATCGCCGTCTTACGGCGAGCAGCATCGTCGTTCTCGGCGGACATCGGCTTTATCTTTCTTCTTAATTCGCGATGTTATTTGGGAGTATTTGTCGATTTTATGAAGCTCGAATGCTCGATATGTTTTTGACAGAGAAAGTGAGAAACTGCGCAGGCAAGCGAGGAGTTCTGAAGAGTAGAGAATGAGTGGATTTTGGGTCTTATTTATGCCTTGTTTGGTTTACACTTTTATATAGCCATATTGTCTTGAGTGATAAGAAAAGAGATGTTGACGTTAATTGAAAACTAGTATAGTTGCCCGTGCGATGCACGAGAGCTTTTAAAAAAAATAGTTAGAAGAACAATTGCAATTAAGATTAAATATTATTGAACATTTTCTTACATACAACGTCCTTCTTCTTAGAGTTATTTTTATCATCACAAATTAATATTTTCAACTGTCTCTTCATCTTCTTCAAAATCATTTTCTCGTTGAGTAAAATTTTCTTTGTCTTCATCCTTTGTTGGAATGTCACTTGTGAGTTGTCTCACATTGATTTGATAGGGAAAATGAGTCTAGTTTATAAGCCTAGTGGGCTACTCCTCCCATCACCAATTGATTTTTGGATGGAACCTCACTTGGACTTTATTTGGGTTAACCCTCTTATGGTGCGCTTCACCTGTGTGAGACCGCACTCGTATTGCCCCCTAATTTGGAACTTGCGATAATAAGGAAAAAAATAAAATAAAAATTGTACTCAGCCTGGTTGTAGGCGTGGGCTGAAAAAATGTACGTGGGCTAATGATGGACTCACAAGTGAGGGGGCGTGTTGGAATGTCACTTGTGAGTTGTCCCACATTGATTTGATAGGGTAAATGAGTCTAGTTTATAAGCCTAGTGGTAGTGGGCTACTCCTCCCATCACCAATTGGTTTTGGGATATGGTAAATGAGTCTAGTTTATAAGCCTAGTGGTAGTGGGCTACTCCTCCCATCACCAATTGGTTTTGGGATGGAACCTCATTTGGACTTCATTTGGCTAACCCTCTTATGGTGCGCTTCACCTGTGTAGGACCGTACTCGTATTGCCCCAGTTTGACATCCTTAGCATTCTTTTTTTTTATGAGCTCGATTCACCGAACAACTTTCTCTTATAATAGTATATTAACGGTGGCTATTCGTTGGGAATTGGATTCTTTTTTGGACTAATCACCTCGTCATCATCAATTTTTTTTCTCGTCATCCACATCAGCTCCCTATAAATGTAAAATAACCAAATAATTAACTTATACTTTAATTTTATAAATTCATAATATTAGTTAATTATTAACTAAAAATAAAAAAAAATATAGAACTCCTAAATTATAAATTTATATGCATTGAATTTAAAAAATATATGCACATATAAGTAGTAGAATCTGTATTTGTTTCATTTTCTACCATAAATTTGAACAATAAAAAAATATGACCATGATTAAATTAATCTATTTAATCATTCTATATATATTCGTGGATAGAGACATATATAGATTAACAATTACAATTACTAATGAAAATTTGTGATGAATCAATGTCACAACCAAAATAATAATCTCATTTCAAATAAGTAGAAAAAAAAAAATCTATTACTTAAAGTTAAGCAAAAACATAGATTAATAATTCAAATACCATAATTAATCCAAAATATATCTAAATTTTCACTGCTCGACAATTACCTTTGTGATATCAAAGATGTTTGAAACCTCGACTGTAAATATATTTAAAAAAAAAACTTTTATTGAAAAAAATTAAAATTTTTGAAATATATAAGTAAATATTATCAAATTAACAGTATTAAATTCACCTCCAACAAAAATTCAAACAAATAAATAAAAATAAGGTACGAAAATTAAATTTAATTAAAACATAAATGAAAACAACTTGCAAAACAAAAATATTTTATTGTTATTGTTATATGAAAATTACTCGATGTGCTCTAAAGTTATTTCTTTAAAAAATATATCGTATATATCTTACAATTAACCTGGAAAATGTTTATCTTATAATTCATAGGGTCAGGGTTGAATGAATGATATGATATTTGAAATATTGTGTATGTGATATTTCTTTTAAAGTGATTAATAATGATATGATATTTGAAATATTGTGTATGTGATATTTCTTTTAATAAGGTGATGTGTACGAATATAAACATTGATATTTATCTGAGTAAAAAATCAAAGATAAAAATATCTTATAGAAAAACACAATTTATTTTTCATTACAATTAAAAAATAATTGTTAATTATGGCTATTTTGTTATAATGACAATACAACTTATACATCACCTTGGACTCTGGATGTCCAAAAGAAAGCTCTACATAATGTGTATCATGTTTGTAATAGGAGTCCAAATGCTTAATTATGGTGAAGTGCACAAATGCAATAAGACAACAACATTGTCATATGATATTAAAAATTTAAAAAAAAAAAAAAGAAAAACAAAAATATAATAAAGATAAAATCACATACAATTCAATGTTTCTACTATCTCATACTTCCTTAATATGAATGAATGATCATTGATTGTCTGTGAGATAGTACTACAACCCCCATTCCTTAAAATCCAAAAATAATAATTTACATAGGTTGATCTGACATTAAAATCCAAAAATAATAATTTACATAGGTTGATCTGACAGTAAACATGTTTGATAATTATTTTAACAATTGATTTCCTCTTCCACTTGATCCACAACTTGCTTTCTGATGTAAAAAGAGGAGAAAAACGCAGAATGATAGGAAACATCAATTATCTTCCATAGCTTAATTTGTACTGCATTCTAGGGAAAATAAAAATGTGTTCTTCTTGCCAATTTGATAAGATTAACTAAAGGGATAAATAGCATTTCGAATCTACAACAACATAATAACCACAAAACATCGTCATTTAAAACTCAAATTGACAGTATATTTTCTCATCTTGTCGAAATAAATTACTTACAGTGATTTAATCCAATGGCTAAGCATGCGAATTTTCATCCAAGTTAAGAGATGCGAATTTATGAATTTCAACTGATTTACGTACCGAAATGGCTGAAACAACGCTTCACATTCACATGAACATGTCAACATTCGGGATATCGTCAAATATGATGTCTAAACCAGGAAATCAATATCCAATCTCCTGAAACAAAAAAAAAAAATTACACAATTTAATAGAAAAAATTAAGAAACCCAAAATTGAAAAACGTAATGCTAATAACGGANAATTAACACCCTTCATAAAATGGTAAACCCAAAACTAAAAACACAAAGCACATGAAAAATATGAAGTTGGCTCATGAGATGGAAATATTTATTCATTACGAAAACAAAGATGAAGTTTAGATTATTTATTTACAACAATATTCACGACATTTCAACTCAACAAACTCTTAGAATTTATTTCATCAATGTCCCAAAATTTTGAGAAAGGTGTTACATGAAAAAGAAAACAGCAAATGCGGAGGTTTTTCCACTCTCCACCAAAACTGAAGCATACAGTTTTATTAATCAAAACCAATGTTATGGTTTTTTTATTAACTAATTTAAATTTAACCATTTAACATTGTTGGAACTTACCATCTCACCCCACTAAAATCATGACGGTTTTAACACAATCCCCTTTAGAGTGTATCCACTAAGAGACCGTCCACTTTTATTAAATAAATTGTAATTGTATCTTATAAATTTATAATAATATTTTCTTATTGTGTGTTTTTCAATATTAAATAATATTTTGTTCTCACTTTCATATGATTTTTGCAAGACATTCATGTGTGCAGTTGTAATTCAAGGGCTTGAAAGACGAATAATTTGATTTAATATTTTGTTTCACGTAATGAATATTCTATGCCCTCTACAATGACTATTTCATATTTTTATAAATGAAATGATTAACTCATTAAAAGTTCTAATAATTACAATAACTATAGAAATTAAAATCTTATGCAATCTATTCCTAATAATAAACATTCTGTTATGTAACTAAAAAAATGATATTTAGGAACATGAAAAATATAACTATACAGATTGCAAATGTTTTAAGAAAAAGTGGTTTATATATAATTTTTTAAAGTTACACAAATAAGTTATTAGAGTTTTACTTCAAACTAAAGAAAAAAAAAATATAAGAATGAGTCTTCAAACTATTAACCATGAAGATTGGGAAACATAAATAAATAAAGGTATTATCAATCAGAAGGGTGTGTATTTAGTTATAAATTAAAAATAAACATTCTGAGTTTTTCTTCAAACTATTAACTATGAAGATTGAGGAAAATAAATAAATATGTATTATTAATTGGGGGAGTATATACATGTACACTGAATTGAAAAGATAAATAATTGCATCATTAATTGATAAACACGTGGCATATAACCGGACTTTCTATAATTAGAAAGAATAGTTAGGGGCCCACTATGAGAACTTATTATTTTTGGAAAGAGTTGTCTCTTTATATAGTAAATAGATAATTCTTATTTATCATCTTTAAAAAAAATAGCTTGTTAGTTCATCGATGGGATTCTAGGGTAACTACCATTATCATACTGCTTGGAGGGATCCATAAATGCAGTCTAATCTCATGTTGTATACGAAAGAGTAGTTAGTTAGTAGAGTACAAAGTATGTAAGCAAAAGGGAGTTTGGCGAATATATGTCGCTCCGAATTTTAAAAAAAAAAAGAAGTTTGGCGAGTAATTCCTATTTGTATTTAATGATCAAACACTTAATATTCGGTTTAATTCAATTCATTTACAACCCTAAATACAAGCAAGTCATAGAGGAAATGAACAAAGAAATAAACCTTGTGTACATCCTTTCAACAAAAGGAAACTAAAAAAGAAAGTGTTCTTTTCTTTCTTTCATTTGCTTCTATATGATGCATGTCATAAAACATTTTGGGTTACACATAATAAAAACTTTCTTGGACCCAAAACAAAAAAAAAAAATATATATATATATATATATCCTTCCAACAGAATGTAAGAAAAGATCAAGGAAATACAAGAGTTAGAAGACCATCAATCATGATTGGTTTTAACCAGTGCTAATAATACCACATAGTCTAGTCACTGACTACATCAAATTGGGACAAAATCCATGGTGACTCAACCAATGCTCCTGTCAAAATTTGAAGGAAAACCTAGAAAACAAAATAGAAAAAATCTCCAGAGTTACAAGCACCAAAAGAATCACCACATCAGTCCCTTCTGTATTTCCACAACTCAACTAGGTTAATGCGAGACGATATGCACGTAGAAATTAACATTAAATTAAAACACTAAACGTAAACCAAGCTAAGCTTCTTCAACCATTACTACATCATCCTCAACCATAACAACATCATCATCATCACCATCAACCTCGTCTAATTTTCTTTTAATCTTTGTGGGACCAGGCGAAACACCCGAACCATCAGACTCGTCTATCTTTCTCTTTTTGCCGGCTTGTGATGTCAGCATGATTGCAGAATCTTCATCATCTTCGTTTACTATGTCGGTTGTGGTGGATTCAGTTGCTCCAGATGTGCTGGCACCATTGTTAGGTGTGGTGTCGATGCTTTTTTCGACAATCGGAGTCCATCCAGAGAGAACCATACCTTCGGGTTCCTTTTCCTCATCAAATTCGTCCCTGATTTTTTTTTTTTTTTTAATTTAGAGATCAGAATATGGACAACCCAATGTGAAATCGAAAGGACACGAATACAAAGTCATGAATAGGCAAAAGTGGAATGGAATAAATAGAAGGCGAGAAAAGCATATAAGAATATCGAGTATTTATTTATATATTATCATCACGTTCAGAATTATGGCAAAATTTAATAATAAAAATGGTGAGATGTTTGATGTCGTGAATCAGATGGACAAAGATGGCGGGTAACTGAATTACCAACCAATTGAGAAAAAAAGATATAGCCTGAGTGGAAGAAAATATAACACAAGCCTTCAAGCTTATAATAAGACCTCGGAGTGAAAACAATGCTCAACAGGAAATGAGTAAATGAAATTAAATCCTCATATTCTTTCAATGCTAAATCACTTGTTATTTTTGACAAACCATCAAAAACTACACAGGGGAAAACAGAAAGACGAACAGGTTGAGAGAGCAGAAAAAATAAATCCTAACAATATCACATGCAGTACTTTCATAAAGTTGGTTGGCTGATGGCACTCTATGCAGACATAAAAATTCAGAAAAAGCATACACTATGGGAAAAAATAAAATAAAATAAATAAACACCTGTGCTTGATGTTGATGCTACATTTCAGTTCTTGTTGAAGATCCTCAATAGTAAGAATGGTTCCACCAATAACTTGAGAAGGAAGCTCAGAGAGTACCTAATAAAAGATTGCCAAAATAAGTAAAAACCCCCAATTGATGAAAACATGAAAGGACGAAAATAATCAAGTAAAAAAGAAGATGCAGACAACCTTTTCGAGATTTGCTGCATAGTTGGCAACCTCATCTTCCTCAAGATCATCACCAACCTCATAGAGAAGGGCAGAACCATGCATGATCAAAGGCAAATTCATACCAAGCTTTGCTTTCACAATCTTGTCAACAATGTCCCTCAACTTCGAACGATGTGTATTCACCTCGAGGGTCAAAGGTGTCTAATTGCAAACAGATACCATAAGATTAAGTCGTTGAGTTGCAATAAAGCTAAACAAGACAGATTAAATGCAGGAAAAAACAACAAACCTCGGAGCAGACGTAGCAGGATTTGTTTGGTTCAAATGGCTCCACCGGCATAAGAAGCATCTTTCGTGAAGGATGTTCAAGGCAATAAGTCATCCTACACAACAACAAAAGTAACGCAATTCTTAATCAGTTAAACCAAGGGATTGGTTTTTATAAATTTCACCACATTATGTGTTTTTGAGAAACACCACCTGATACTTCCGTCATTGAAAGAAAAGACAAATGAACAAACAAGGAAGAAAAACCCACCTATAATTTTTTGCATCATTTTGCAGCACCTTAATAGCTTCAATCACAATCAACCCAGCAATTATGGCATTTGTTGTAGCAACAGCATGTACAATATTTCCGGCAACACCTTTGGCCTCAAAAAGGCTATGCAAAGGAATGCCAAAAGAAGAAGCTCTTATATTTGCTGCAGCAGTAACAAATTCTACAGCCAATTGATCATCTTTGTCAAAACTCAAGTTACCAATCTCCTGTGGAAAAAA